GCATTCGTGCGGCTTCCCGGGCCTCCGTGTGCATCTGGCCCCCTAGACCCTCTGGGATTTCCTGCGACCTCCCCAAGCCTTTACGTGAACATGGCCTCCGGGCCCTTGGGGCTTTCTTGGGGCCTCCCTGGGCCTTTATATATGCGTGGCCCTTCAGGCCCTCCAGCCTTTTGTGCTGTCTCCACCAACCTCCGTGTGCAGTCGGCCCCTCTGGGCCCTCCGAGCATTCGTGTGGCCTCCCCACTCCTCCGTTCGCAGCTGTCCCACCGGGCCCTCCAGGCATTCATGTGGCCTCCACGGGCCTCTGTGTGCAGCTGGACCCCGAGCCCTCAGGGGATTCATGTGGCCCCCCCCGGGCCCTCCGGGCTGTCATGCGTCCTGCCCAGGCCTCCGTGCGCATTTGTCCCCTTGGGCCCTCCGGGCTTTCATGGAACCTTCCCGAGCCTTTATGTGCGCATGGCTGTAGGGCCCTCCGGCCTTTCCTGCGGCCTCCCCAGGCCTTTATGTATGTGTGGCCCTGCAGACCCTCTGGCCTGTTGTTCGGTCTCCACGGGCCTCTGTGGAGTTGGCCCCCCGGGCCCTGCGGGCATTCATGTGGCCTCCCTGGTCCTCCGTTCGCAGCTGTCCTACCGGGTCTTCCAGTCTCTCGTGCGGCCTTCCAGTCTCTCGTGCGGCCTTCCCAGGCCTTTATGTATGCGTGGCCCTCCAGGCCCTCTGGGCTTTCGTGTGGTCTCCACGGTCCTCCGTTCGCAACTGTCCCACCACGCCCTCCAGACTTTGGTGCAGCCTCCCCGGGCCTCCATGTGCAGCTGGCTCCCGAGGCCTTCCGGTCTTTCGTGCGGCCTTCCTGGGAGCTGGTGTGTGCTGGCCCCCTAGCCCCTCCACGCTTTTGTTTCTGTTTTCTACTGCAGAAAGAGGCAGCTACCCTTGCCAAACAATTCAGGGTTTTGCCTTTGAAGATCTCGAGCCAAGATCTCATCTGCTGCCTATTAATGCAGGGCTCTGGCTTAAATGTAAAGCACCTCGTGAGCTGCTTTATCCCCCTTTGCACTCACCACATACTTCCCCACCGTTCAAAAGGCTGGTCAAGTGCATGCAACATCTGGTGCATGGARGAAACTGCACTGTGAAAGTCAGGCCAGCAAATCCAGAAAATTTAGCAAGTGTCCTATGTATGGAATCGATGGGAGAAAAAACACGGCCCATGGGAATGACAGGGAGTTGTGGTAAATTGCCTGTCTGGAGGCACGGATAGAGCACCCTAAATATAGCAGTGGAAAGAAATTCTCCTCTTTATCAAAATTTGCATCTTGCTGCATAACACATGAAACGTATCTGGCTTTTGACGGGTGCCATGGCAGCAATATTGCTAGAGTTGCGGGGGAGCAGTTTCAGAGCCAGAAAACGGGGTGAAATGAGAGGCTCGCCRCCTGTCTGTGGGCAGAAGGACTTCTGCTGCAGACCCAAAGACAGGTTCTCCTTCTCCCTGTTCCCTCTCAGTTTGCTACAGCTGCCACCACATTTACACTGTCACCTTATAGTGCCATTTTCCAGAGCTGGTGAAAAAAAAAAAAGACAAGAACTGCTACTATTGAAAGGATAGGACTTAAACCTGACTCAAGAGATCCATAATATTCACATAATTTAAATGAGATGGACAATACAGAAAGGTTGAAACAGCTGTGATGATTAGTGAAGATTAATGCACCTATGTTTAAAAGTCATATTTGCTTGAAAAATATCCATGTAGAGATTGTTGTCTGTTGATAGCTGTCATATTCTGGTGCTCCTTTCTACTGGCTCTGCTTTTGTGCTCAGCTAGATAAGGAATTTCAGCACACTTGGCGAGGGAGCGAGTGCTCCACCTTTGTCGTGATTCACAGAACACCTGCAAACCTTCGTCATTTATTGAATTACTGAGTACTGTCGTGCCAGCAACGAGGAAGTGAAACTCATACCTTGTACTCACAAGCTTATTTGCTCCAAGATGTGTGTGGAAAAAAGGACAGTTTAGGATTAAGAACTGGTAATATAAAGTATTACCTATTGCAGCGGCCGAGAACAAGACTGGATATTRCAATTTTATTCTCTTGAGCTGTTGCCCAGGGCTACTTCTTTAGCCCTCTGCATTACTAAACCCTTGTCCCTGCAGAAACACAGTCASACTACCTGAGAGGCAGACTTCCCTTCCTAACTCCTTCCCTTCCCTAATTCCMAGGACTAACTCAGGGGTTGATTTATTAATAATCAGACACTTACAATGTACTCCTGTCCTGCTTTCCTAGTCACTTGTGAACCCATTGGCCAATGGGTTGCTTCTGAACCCGAGAGCAAGGAGGAACTATTCTAGGTGCTTTTTGGGAATGAGTGGCAGGGTAGTTGGGATATCTGATATTCCCGTGGAATTAAGTCTCAAACATGTTTTTAGACATAAGCAAATCCAAGCAGGAGTGTAGTGCAAGTCATCAGGGCTCAGAAAACCTGGTGCAAGTAGAAATGGTTTGTTCTTCCAAGCCCTCAGTGTTCCCATTCTGAGTTACGTCACAGACCTAGTTTATTTTCTGTTCACCCAAGAGACCCTTGTCTCTTATTGACCCTTGCAGYACCTAACTTCTGCCTTCCTGTTTCTTGATCTCATTTTAGATCCTGCAGTGTTTAACACCATCTTTGGGCCAATGAAGTTTGCTATATAACTGCACTTGTGAAGCCTTCACACAATGTTTCCTTATTGATTGCATGATCCGCAACAATGACCTGACCTTGTCACCCCTTTGGTATGTGGATATCCTTCGAATGAGCAGGAGAATACAAAGGGTAAATAGTATATGGATTATCCCCAAGGAGAAAAATAACAAATAAGCCAGTTCCACCACTGCATTTTACTGTTYTATAACAAGAGAACATTTATGAATCAAAAGATGTCCAACTCTAGCATGTGAAAAAACAGGAGTCATAAAAGASAGTATGGGTTCCTTTATGATTAGCAGGGCAGATGGTTAAGTTTAATGATTTGTATGAATGGCCAGTATGGGTCTGTTGTTCAGAATTCCTTGTGGCCCAGGAATAAAACATGCTACCTTCATATCTAGCCAAATACATAGTTGCTCTGCGCAGCTGAATCTGCTGTCTTTAAGCCATAGCTAAATAATCACATCTAAGACCTGTGTTTGCATTCTTTACTTTAACCACCCTTTCACTGAATATCCTCCCATCCATCAGCAATCCTGTTTGCTTAATAAATGATCTATTTTCACTTTATAGCCTAGTGACAACCTTGGCCTTGCTACAGATTGGACACACTCATGAAATTCCTGTAGTGAGTCAAGCCCCACAGCGAATGTCTGGGTGCCACCCATGGACAAGATACAGCCAGAGGCAGCGTGAGTCATATCCAGCTTCCAGATCACCTCTTGTTCAGGAAAAGTTTCTAGCCCTGGGGTTTACAAAGTGTTCCACATTTTTGCAGGGGGCAAAAACTTATTATCCTGAGGCTGGAAGCAGACTGCAAATACAGAAAAGAGCAGCTTGTAGCCCCTGCTAGCCTCACTGAAAGGTGGGCTGAAGATACCTGTTTAGCATCCATTTTTCTCAAAGATTGGGGATTCTGCAAAAATACAGATTCAAGAAACACAGCTCTAAGGTGTCACTGGCAGCAGCAATATACTGCTTGGAACTATTGATCAGTGTGCCTAACACTTAAATTACTGAGACAGCATATAGCAAGATATTTTAATAAGCAAGGTGACAGTTGGGGCAGACTGCTCCATTTCCATAGCACTTGTACAAGTTTCTATTAGTAAGGTGTTTTTAAGAAGAAAATAAGAATGTGCTCTACTTAGTGACCCCGGGGGAGAACAGAGGCTTGCTCTGCAGGGCTGCAGCACCAAATCCTGTCTCCAACAGCTCCGTGCACCTCCCCACTCTGCAGCACAAACTATTTCCCACCTCCCACACTGAGGGCTGCAAACTGGTCAGCCAGCCCGTGCAGACAGCAGAGCTGTTCTGCCCAGTCTGCTTCACAGGCAGCTTTGCTCTTTCCCTGCAGTAACAGACCCACAGAGAGGACACAACCAGCTCCGCATCAAGGCAGGCACCCCTCTGCCCAGGTGGATTGAAGGGCACATTCTGCAAGGGGGKGGGCAAGGAACTTTTTTAAACACATTGTTTCTGGTCACCGTAATCTTTCTGTCTATCTCATCAYTGCAATATCCTGCCCATGCATCCATGCTATTCAGAAAGACAAAGAGCACAGTTCTTGGAGCTCGTGGAGCGAAGCAAGGGCTCCACCACTTGGCAACACAGAGCCTCTGTAGGAAGTGCTTTTTCCCTTCATGCTGACTTGGCTGTGGCTAAAATTGTGATTGAAGCTTTCCTTACTCCTCAGAAACAGGCTCTTGCTTGCAAATGCTCTTACCAAGTACTCCAGAAACTCCCGTACAACAAATGGGTTATCAGGAACAGGAAAGATATACCTGTTCTCTCTTCTTCAGCTCCACGGCCCAACAGTGTTTGGAGCTTTTTGGCCTCAGCCACCATAATCAGTTCCACAAACGTCATCGTTTCACCTTCTACCACACCACAGGTTAGTGCAGCTGCATCCCAACCCATAATCAACAAACTTGGGTACTGTCTCATCTTTCTRCTATTCATTGTGGAGACAGTAGTATGAGAAACAGAGACCAAGGGTCAGTTTATAAAAGATATGCAAGGTCTGCAGCTACAAGAATACAAGCCTCAAAATCTATTATAATAGGAATGGATCAAAAGATTCAGAAGAGAAATCTTACAACTAAGGAACTATTCTTGTCCCAAATTTCTGAAAACTGGTAGGAGATTTGATTTCTTCAGAAGCTTGTGGTGTAACTTTAGAATGTAATGCATCTGCAAGGATATGAGTATTGACTGCTTTTTGGTCTAGAGGTCAGAGACTAACACAGGGGGTGACAGGGACAGGATGTGRGGGAAATTGTAGTGCAGGTGTAGGGCAAGTTACAGCAGCACGTGAAAAGGTCACTTCCCTTCCCTGACCCAGCTCCAGAAAAGTTTCACTTCGGGAATGGGCGAGGGGGAAGAGACGACACYATGAAACTAAGCAATTTCAACATTGATAGATGCCAGGATGGTTCCTGGGTTATTAAGCAAGTAACTACTTTCATCAGTAAAAACCACCACCACCATCAGCCATATAACACCTACAGATATGCAGTTGTGTATAAGACTGCTTATATTTTCCCTTAAAAACTTATGTGAAGTAAACAGTGAAAAAAAAACAAAACAGAAGACTCAAAATTGTTGGTTTATTTCATTCTCTTCAGAAAAAGGGAAAGCACTTCTTGAATAAATCTTTCCCTTCAAAAACTCAACCGCATCCTCATTTGTCATTTCCTGAAACTTTTTGTTTATGACCTGGGGGAAAGGAAAAGCAGGGGGTATATTGGTTGGTTTGTTTTGTTTTCATTCACTGATAATAACAGCAATTTGTAGCTTGTCTTTAGCAGTTCCTCTGCTCTTTATGACAGAATATTGTGACTCCACCACCCTACCTTGTGRGAGGAGATCACCTACAAGTAATCAGACACACAGCACTGGAGCATCTTACCCCTCGCTCCAGGGCCCTTTCTACTGCACAAGCACAATCATCAGCACACTGATTAGCAGGGCATAAATGATGCGAATGCCAGGACTGCTCTTACCATAACCACTTCGTAACCCAGCTTAGTCAGATGCCGCTTTTTCACCGCCAGCTTCCCTTGGGGGTGCGTCGTCCCTATGCAGAATGCAGAGAGAGGAACAAAGAGAAAAGCCAACCTGCAACCAGGAAGAGGAGGGAAAACTTCATTTTATGAATGCAGGGTAAGCATTTTTAACAGTTGAGATGTTTTTAATGCTGCAGAACRTATCTGTCTTACTAGAGGCAAAAATATCACTACTGCAAAAATTACTTTATTCTTTGGCTTCTTCAATTTAACACATCTCTTCTATCAGTTTCAGATAAGTACAGGCGTCTACTCAAACAACTCGTGGCAGAATTTAATCCTTTGACCCCTAATTCTCCCATAATGAGAATAGATCTTTCAGAATTGAAAATTTTGAAAAAAATGAAAATTGAAAATTTCAAAATTGAAAATTATTTGACAGCTTCTCATTCATGTGAGGCTTTTCGTTCAAAGTGTATTTCAGCAGAAATCACTGCCACAACCTACCASTGAGATGAAAGTACTGAAGACTTAGGAAAATAACCAGTCGTTGMCTGGATACACAAAAATACTTGGAATTTTAAAATTATACTATTCAGTGTGTTGGAAGACATCTGAATTATACTTCAAAAAATCTGTATCCTTACAAGAGGCTGAGATTATCCCTACTGTGAGGTTTCCAGTCCTTGTCTGAAGCATAAATTCTGGACTCCATGAGAAGGTGGCAGTGAGCTAGGTGAGTTGTTATTCTGAAGTGTCATGGGAAATTCTGTTTCTGTGAGCACAAATACCATATCATTGTCTACTACGTTTCTGCAGAGCACCAAACCAAAGAATCAACTAGATGGAACAGACACAAATAAAATTAGCCTGCTAGAAAAAGTGTGCAATCCAAAAAGGTCACCTTTCAACACCGGAGTCAGCTTGATCATCTGTTGCAGTTACTGGGAGCACTTTCTTTCTCTCYGAATCAACTCTAATTTCAAAATCTGAAAACAAAGCAATAAAATATTAATCAGTGCAAGAGATTACAACTAATAATCTATCTAGCTAATTTTAAAAAGTCAGTAGATGTTGTTGCTACTGTGTTTCCAATTCCTATTTTTGAAAAATATACATATTACTGATGGTTTCTTTCCCTGCAATCAATATAAACAGCTATTGCTTGTGCATCTCTAGAAAAATATTTTTAAAGAACTGTTGATCTAAAAAGGTTTTAAGAAAATTATATATATATAGTTTATAGTTTAAATAAGTCACTAATCAGGCATTTCATTTGTCACAGATAACGTCTTTAGAGTCTTACATTTTTAATCACCTGCACCTATGCACATTTGTTGCTGTCTTCTTATTTTAGGAATCAGAGATCTACATTCAAAGGAGTACAACAGTAATTTGACTTCATACCAATGTGATATTTATGCAGCAGCTGAACATTTTCCCGAAACATGTTCTCATCTCCCAGAAGTTCTAGAAGGGCCTCCCGAGCCTTTTTGTGATTAAAAGATACTGATGAGGAGAAGTCCTCAGCCAGCACAAGTGCAGGCTTTGTGAAYGTGGGGCTATCCAGTTCCACACATGCTTTCACACACTGAAGCATCATGTCTTTTTGATCCTTGTAAAGATCACCTGAAAAAGGATATAAAAAGAAAAATTATCCATTGAATTCTTTATTATCGTTTTTAGCCTGTTCTTGCAGAGCAAATGAATTTCAGTAGAAGAAACACTTTTTTCTTTTTCTTTTTTTTTTTTTTTTTTTTTTAAACAGAGTAACTTCAGTAACATGAGACTTCAGGAGAACATTGCAAGTGAAAGCAAATGTAGTGTTCTTCATAAAATCCAAACAAATAAGAGGCCATTTYTGAAGCTAAGAGGATATATCACAGTTTGGCCAGAAAGCCAGCACAGCTTTCACGTGCAATAAAAGCAGGTTCAACAGTAAGACATAGGATCTTACTCTACAGTGGATTCCTCCTCTACTAAGCTATTCTGTTGCCTGCAAGGAATTACAAGGCAGAAACCAAATTCCTCCACATATTATCGCAAGTTCCTCATTATAACTCAAAGTAATCAAAGAAACTTACATATGACGTACATATGACTTACAAGTATTTAACATTTGTTTACAAATTTTAGACTTCCTGTGTTTTTAAAAATGCCCAAACATGTGAGAACATTTTAAAAATGCCTGCATGTTGAAGACAAAATCTTGGCTCTCACCCATTTCAGCCTTTACTACAWATCTCACATTTACTCTTATCCATGTGCAAGTTACAAGTTCAAATATGGCCACCTTGTGGCCCATCCACAAGTTTAATGACCAGCTTTCTGATTTAATAATCAGAGAACACAGTGTGTCACTTAGATCACCACCATGAAGTTAGCCTGTTTCCCGAGGACTTCACATTTAATATCAATCATTTTTGCCTTCTGTAATTTTGAAACTTTAACACAGTAACAACAAATTTTGAGTGGGGAGCAGACGTTTGAAAAAGAGAATGTGACATAGTAAGGCCTGACCTGACTGCAGTTCATCAAGGTTTTCCTTTTGCAGCAGCTGATCAAGTGCAGGATGAGGAAGGTATCCTAAAATGCAAAGTGAATACACTGCTTTCAGCAGTTCCATGCTGGAAATATTGGGGAGGTACTTATTCAGGCAGCTATGAAGAGTCTCAAAAAACCTTTCCAAAAGAAAAAGAAAAATGTCAATTAAGAACCATATAAAATACAGATTTCAAGCCAAAATACAAGCTAGAAATCCTTTACATTTGCTTAATCCTATACRGTGTAATCCAACATTAATAGATTTAGTCCGGTCAGGCTGGAACCAATTTACAATTCTACTGAGAAAAATTCCTATACAGGAAAGATTATTAACAAACACAGCAAATTTATCTTACAGATTAATAAAACAGGATTGTGATGTTTTTTGAAAGTGAAATCTAACATCAGCTGTCATTCCAAATATGACTCTATAAAGATTATTTAACTGATTACCAGGCTTTCTAAATCAAAACCTACAGTTGCTTTTGGCCTCTGGGAAGATAGTTGAGTTGTGAATAAACTCGGAGAATAATCAAAAGATATTTCAAGTTTAGAAATTCAGGGTCTTCTGTCACCTTCTCAGCAAAAATATCCATCAGTTCAGTAGGCTGAAAGCCAAGCGTCTCAAAGGCAGAGAGAAGCAGGATAATCTAAAACAAGAAAAAGAAAATTAAAGAAATAAAGTCAATAAAATGGATAATAGACATTTTTAATGAAAACAGTAACAGTTTTAATGACAACAGTTCAATTGTAACATCCCTTTTGTTTCCTATTTCTTTAAGTCAATAAGTAGAAGAGCATTTTAAAATGCAACTGCCAACTTCATCAGAGTGTTATTCCTCAAAATCTGCTCACCAAACATCAAAGACAGCATGAATAAAAATAAAATGGAAACCAGCAGAAACTACCTATTCTCCTGGTATGGGTGTAAATCATTCAGTCTCCTCCTCACCTGTCTTTTGTCCCAAAGGCAGACAGTGGAAGTCACATAGTTTGCTACTCCTGAAAACAATTTTATATTACGATACTGGAGATCGTGGCAAGCTTCCAGAATAAGAATTAACTGTCGAAACGGAGCATCATGGATATTTTCTGTAACATAGGAGCAAAAAAAAAAAAAAAAAAAGGACAGGTGATGCAAAGCAGTGGGAGCTGTATGCTGGAGTCACAACAAGGCAAAGGGAAGAGGAAGAAAAAATAATCTGGTAAAGAACTGTAGAAATGACTAGCCAAACAGAGCTAAAACTGAGCCTAATGGGAGGAAGGAAAAGTCTGAATCGTTAGGCTGAAGGAATCAGAGTAAACGAGGACGATGGCTACAGGGGACAGACAAAAGAAGAGGCAAGAGAAGAGAACAGAATAGTGTGTTACAGAGAACATCTCCTGTTCTAGGATTCCTGATTCCCAGCAAGGAAATCCCCAGGCTGGCAATGATGGAGCTTTTGGATTGCCCATCTGGGCACTGCCCATCTGCCCACTGGGCACTGGGCACTTTTGCTGTGTTGAAAAACAAAGATGTTTCCTGCATTTTGAAGGTAATCAGAGAAGGGAGATGGGGCAAAATTAGGAAGATTTTGATATAAGGAGAAGAAAATGTAATAAACTTGTTTTTTTCTTACCCATAATCTTTTCACTGCAGGCATTCAGGATTGGACTGGAACAATAATTCATTGCAACAAGGGCAAAAAATACACGCTGAGCATTCAGGAATGTCAGATGGTCCATATCCTTCAAAACAGCTTTCTAAAGTGAAATAGAGTGTATTAAWTCCTTCATTCTTCAGGTATATTATCACTGCGCTATGGTAAAGGAATTTACACCAAAACTCTCCCAAATTCCTTATCCTGTTGGGATTCATACTGAAGAAAAAAAAAAGTAGCAACAAGCAGCAAAGACATCAAGTAACTTCTTGCAATTACATGCTACACAACTAGAGCTGTAGTCTCACAAGGGTTTATAAAGCTCCCTTCAGTTAACTAGTGGAAGGGTTGCTTTCCATACATCTAGTGCCAGAACCTCACCATCTTGMTCTAAAAAGTGGAACCTTGTCCAAGGTTTCTGGTTTACTTAAATCTCAGGCATTTCATGAGCAATCTCCTCTGCTCTATTCTCGCATGAGAAGCCCCATTTCCTGTCAGTGCCCTGTTCTTTCACTCCCTCAAGAACACTATTARTCCTGTCCTTAGAGCTGTTCAGCTGCATGATGAAAGCACTGACAGGCTTGAAAGAAGCTTGCAAAAGTGTCTTTAATYGAGGACAAGACCTGTTATGACCTGCCATAAAAGCACAGCCTGCCCCAACCACCATGTTTCCTGGGGCACCTCTTAGACGAAAAGGAYAAGGCGACGAGCTCGGCGAGCTCTTCTGGCATCTCACCTCAGCTCTCTCTAGCCTCACAGCATCACAGGACACAGCCCCATGGCAATATTCTTGTTTTCCAGCCACACATCAGCCAACAGCATCAGGAAACACAGCCTGAAAGTGCTTCCATAAAATGTAACGTGGCCAACCCAAACAGGAGAGAGCATTACTATTTTGCTGCTTCGGTTCCTTTTGTACTCAACTCCACTCCTTTCTGCCCCATCAAGGCTTGACATGCCCAGCCTCCAAATTTAAGTCTCTCTGGCAAGTGTAGCTGGAGTTTGATTCATATGGCAAATCCACTTAACCTTTTTATTATATTTTCTCTTTATCTGGAAAGAACCATGCACAATTTATAAACACTGCAGGAGCCAAGGTTTTGTGGAAACAATGGTGATGAAATGAAATGTACCAACCAAAATTAGAACACTTACCTCTAATTTCTTTTTCAAAGAGACTGGAGCATCTTTTCCTATGCATTTCATCAGGTTTTGCAGGATAAAGATGTCTCTGATATGTGGGATTCGCTGCTCTACTAGTAATCTGTTAAAGAAGAACACAAGGCCTTCATGAAGCTGAAGAGAATACRTGTTTAGTAGAGGCTCTCTTATTCCAGGAAACACAGATATGTGCCCCCGTTGTCCCTCACCAATACACTCCAACATAAAGCTTTATCCTGCTCATCTTGCACCCCTCTTTTTTGCACATCTGGCACAGTGGATCATGATGTGGCTGCAGCACAGATGTTTAGCAAAAAAGGAGTAACTGTATTTATATAAATATATGCCTTCTTCGTGTCATCCTGCTGSATCAGTGTTGTCCCTCTTACATTCTGAATAGGAGGCACTGCCTGGACTGCACTGTGTGAATGCACAGACATTAAGTGCTGCAAGCCTCACAGAATCAACACATTCTGCAGAAAAAAAAAAAAGGCAGAAACAGTGAGAAAACTCAGGGATGAACCTTGATAACAGCCTGGAGGAGATGAAGCAGAGAAAACCCAAAAAGCAGTGCAAGTGGGCTGCAGGAACAGAAGTGGGTATCACAACACACAGGCACCATAAGCACCAGATCAAGGAATCCTGCTTTCACAGCAGCCTTTCTGGCTCATCAGGAAAGACTGTAGTTGTTAAACCTGGGTCMCCCTTAACAATAYGTCCACAGCTACAAAAATAAGAAGYGTTGCTTCTTTCACTTTCTAAGGCCACCAACTGYTCTAAAATTCATTACTGCAAGTGCTGCTGTCTGCAAATGGACAAAAGCTCTGGGCATCAACGGAGAGGAAGAGCTAGAGGGGGTCGCCTGCTTTGCCCCAACCTGTAAGAACTGTGTCCCTGAGCTGCTAGGAGAACCTGCTTTTTGTGGCTAACAGGCTCCTTCTCAAAGCTGCGCCTGGCGAAGGACCAAAAGGACAGAGCCAGGGCATGTTGTGCGACAGCTTCACTAAAAACAGTGTCATGAGGGTGGGCAGATTGGTGACCCACATAACTCTCACCCACTTTAAAAAGAAAAACAGCCAAATAAGAGTGCTAGAGTGGTAGCAGAACCAGTCCGCTTAACTTTCCCTTACTCGATTCAACAGAATTAGTTCCTGTGTATTAAACATCAAAGATCTGGAGATCCCAAAACGCTTCACAAAGTGAGTTAGCCTCGTTATCTCGTCTTCAACATGTGGGAAAAACAGGCACAGAGAGGTGAAGTGACCTGACCAACATCACCAAAAATTGCCAGTGGCGGAGCTGCCTTCAGAGCACACATCTCCTGTGCAGCAGTCTAGCACTTGAGGCCATCAAAAGCCTTTCTGCTTGAGCCCGCAAAGAATGCCAAAAAATCCCAGTCTTGTACAGCTGTTCTCTCATGGGAATCATCTAGGTCCTAAAACTGCAGTGTCTTCTAAGCAGACTCTCCCTCCATGATGTCCAAGAGACACAAAAACCGCCCGACGTTTAAAGAACAAGTGAAAGATGCATCTTCCTCACCGTAACCCAGCTTGAAGAGCGCTCACGTTCTGGTCTTTTTCCAGCCCTATCAAAGCAGTTGCCAGAACCGAGAGGCAGCGGTTATCGAGTTGATTGAGCTTCTCCTATTAGAGAGTTGGCCCAACGGTAGGTTACTCGAGGCCAGCGAGACACTTCCCGGGAGCCAAAAGCGAGCGCTCCGAACTCGGCAGCGGCGCGGCGGCTCACCTGGCACACCCTGAGCAGGGTCTGCACGAGGAGGGTGCCCTGGGGCACGCCGAGGCTCACGAGGGCGTGCAGGCCGAAGACGAGGTCTCCGCGCGCGAGGCGCCGCGCGTCGCGCAGCAGCCGCTGGCAGAGCGGCGCGAAGGCCGGGTGCTCCAGCACGAGCCGCCTCTCGTAGCGCCGCTGCTCCTCGGAGAGGCCGCGCAGGAGGCGCCAGGCGGCCGCGAGGCTGTTGGCGGCGTGCGCGGCGGAGGTGGCGCGCGCCGCGGCCAGGTCCAGCGCGTC